CAGGTGTGCTTAAATTGTTACATGTATATTTTAAAGGCATTAATATAACATAATATGAGATATTTACTTACTCTGTGATATAATACACATTTGATATTTTGAAAGCTTCATAAAACTGAAAATGTGTGTTCATTACATTAGAAGTGCATAGAAGAGCGGACAAAAATAAAAATTCGTACCTTTTCCTTTTAATCAAGTGAATATGAGCGTTTGTTAATTTAAACATTAAATAAAATATACACAATTATTGTCGTCTTATGTTAAATCCTTCTCGTTGGAAATATCTTTTAATGAGAAACTCATTGACTATGTACTTAACTTTTCTCCGTTTTCTAAATAGGAAAATAACTAGAGGTACTCTGAGCTGTGCGCTCACAAAATGACACTCCACGCTCCCATATGAGTATAAAGGCAAAGTCCATATTTTGCTGTGGGAAACCCCAAATATCTGTCCAATCGAAATGTAAAATAAGAGGTGCTCTATGGCACTATGTTATAAAGATGCTGTAAAAGTCCCATTTAATTTTATTCAGCGATATAGCCCTGTTTAGGATAAGAGACGGGTACCCCCAAGATTATAGAAAGAATGGCAGTCTTCAGATTTTGCTATGGAAAACACCAAATATCTGTCCAATCGAAATGTAAAATAAGAGGTGCACTATGGCACTATGTAATAAAGATGCTGTGAAAGTCTCATTTAATTTTATTCAGCGATATAGCCTTGTTTAGGATAAGAGATGGGTACCCCCAAGATTATAGAAAGAATGGCAGTCTTCAGGTTTTGCTATGGAAAACACCAAATATCTGTCCAATTAAGCGAAAAATAGGAGGTGTACAATGGTATTATAAAACTCAAGATTTTGTGAAAGTCTCATAAAATTTTATTCAGCGGTATACGAGGAGTATACGAGATACGAGGTATACGAGATACCTCAATGTTATAGAAAGAATGGCAGTGTTCATGTTTGTTGTTAGAAACCCCAAATACCTGTTTGATCGAAATGTAAAATAGGAGGTGCACAATGGCACTATGTAATAAAGATTCTGTGAAAGTGTCATAAAATTTCATTCAGTGATATAGGAGGAGTTGTGGATAAGAGATGGATACCCCCAAGTGTCACTGACGTATGGACTAACGTACGGACGTGCAGACTTAGAAATGAAAACCGCCATATATAATATATATGCACCGCCATCTATGTAACCTCCCCCCCCCCTCAAAACACACACACACAAACATAGACACACTTTTTGGCGGGTGTATAAAAATGACCATTCAAATGCAATATCTTCATGCATAGCATATGATACACAAGATTTCCATAGAGGTTTTTATCCTAACAAAAAATTACTACAGTTAACTATAGTTTTCTACACTGTATAAGAAGTTATTTACATTGGCTGATAAGTAGGCATTGTTGACTGTTAAGGCGTAGTTTACTATAGTTAAATATTTCAAATTTCTTACTGAATTTGTTATATTTCATTTTCTTCAACTTTTAAATAGGATTTTTTCATATTTAAAGGAAAAATCACTTGTATATCCATATATAATTACCAAACTTTCATCAGTGGAATGGAATTTTAGAGATGTGATGGCTCTTTATTTCGAGTGAGAAAAAATTCAAAAGTTCCGTAATGAATCAAGTTATCAATTATAGTAGACTATAGTTAACTATAGTGAACTATAGTTAATTATTGTAAATTTTTGTTTAGGTAAGACCACCACTATTCGAAAGGTATTTTTACCTATCAGAATATTTTACGATCAATACAGACACTGATATACCTTATACTTGGTATGTACATGTATTTTTGTTTAAATGTTTATTGTGAATCTTAAAAAAAAGAATTCTACATGAATGGCCAGTCTCTGACTATGTCTCTGTTACTGTATAGGATCTCTTCTTCAAGTTGATATTAAAACGTGCTTTTGGTTTTGCCCTTCCCTGCAAAAATGACATGAACTAGTTACATTAATTTTGTAATTACTTTTCTCTCTGGAGATTTAGTTCTACAGGAGAACAGTTAAGTTACAATAGAAAAACAGCGGATGTGTTCTTAAAAAAAAAAAAGAAGATCTTTCTGACTTTATCTTAATAGTGCTGGAAAAAAGAACATAATAGGACAATATTTTTATACCTCATTTTATTTCATTATATTTTATCATTATAGATCATTTATATTCTTTCATTAATATTTTTTCAAGATTTCGTGTGTTTAAATCTCAAATTTGTATATTATATAGTAACGTACTATCAATGATTTTAAGGCTAAATTCAAAGAAGGGTAAGACTAGGTTTTCAGAATATTCTTTAAGTAAATTTCATCTATAAATTGTGAATAAAAAATATTTTTTAAATGCAGACACAAAAGGTCTTTTCAAAAGGGTTTTTTAACTTACTGTGCTGAAAGGAATATAATTTTTTAAACAAAGCATTATTTCTTTTTACATGATGACGTATGTCAAAAGATACCGCTCCCCAAAATGTCCCCAACAATAATAATAATAATACCGTTTTAGGGCATATCAAAATATATTAAAATGTATAAAATACACTTCACCATTTTTTCTTCTTTTAAATTAATTTTGATGGCATCGTCTTTTGGTACGTTTTCTATCATTTCTACTGTCTGAAAAATACAAAGGTAAAATGTTGGAGCCCCCTTCTCTTTTATAAGGATTTTACAATAGCATATATTACTATTATACCTACCTTCTCCTGGGAAACAGAACAGGAACAATCGGTGGATACAGTTTTCTCTGTCTCAAATAAGTCAGATTTCTTGATTTTGAAACCCATTGGATTCTTTTTAGTTGACGTTTTTCCGAACATCGATAGAATCCCTTTTTTCTGGAAGGAAATATTTAATAACTTTTTTTTATCATTTTTCTTTCCAAAATCGCAATATTTTAACTGCATGCAAAATTCAATCAGCGAACAGAGCTGTACAGTTCAGGTGTGCAATGGAAATATCGGCTATATATATTTGTGTGATAAAAAACAAATTCCTAATCAGGATGGCGATTCTGTTTTACTACTCTACCAAAATTGGACAAATACAATATGGTTATTAACTACATATTGAGGACTATTAGTTCTTCTATTTAGACTTGTCACTTGATGTGGCGGTCACATGATTTTATCAAATATACTTGCACTCTTTAGGTCACTTATAAATTTCAATAGTGCAAAGGCAGAGGCAAGGTAAAATTCAAAGTTTAGTTTATATTTTTAAAACCAATTGTAGTTGGTGAAAAGTGCTGTGATCCTTTATATATTCCACTATTTCATTCTTAAAATTTGTAAGACCGCATACTTAATTTCTTGCTGACGAACTGCAATAAATACGTATAGAAATAATGTTAAATTCATTTCAAGATTTCACCAGGATCGCAACACTTATCAATATAACTTAATACTTCTAGTATTTAGGTGTTGATGCTAACAGTGATCCATTGAGTGTATGTCCTTGAACTAGATTTATTAGGACCCTTACCTAACTCCCACTGTACGTGCATACAAATATACGGCAGCATCAGTTAACTAGGAAGTGTACGGAAAATATGTGACTAAAATCATAAAAAGAAATTGCATCGAAGTAAACGGAATCTTAAATAATATCACACGTATGCGAATAAGATGCTTTTATCAAGGAAGGTCAATTTTTTGACACAGTTGTCTCTTCTGGTTTCAGCACGAGTTATCGAATTTTTAATTATAAAAAGAAATAGCTCGTGCTGCAAACTCTCTCTTTGTCGGTTACATTCAAGTTTTGTGTTCATGATTTTTTTTAACAATATCAGCTTAGTGTAGAATTTAAACACGTTTTAAAAGAGGTTAGTGCCTAGAAAACTTATTTGATTGATATTGATGTTCTTTTAACATATATTGTTCATCCATCCATTCGATTGCAATGGATTTAGATCAGGTCAGATGCATTTTTTTGGCATCACTGTGTGCTATCGGTCATCTTTGTTGCACTTCGAACAATCAAAATTGAATCTAATAATATACATGTAATCTAATAAAAACAATTTTAAAATATTACCTTACGCGAATTTATGATTCGTCGATTTTTTTTCTATTCATTTTGTTGGATAATTTAATTATATTTAGTTGCATATTTTAATTTTTGAATAGGTGCTATAATTACAGCCTCGTTGCAGTCTGAACAAATACATCTAGGCATACAAATTAGTTTAAAAATTGTTACTTAATTCAACAAATTTTAGGCATCATCGACTATATTTTTCGTTTTCTGAAATTAAATGAAATTCTTATTAGTTGTATATATTTTAATTTTTTGGGACTTGCATGCCACGCACCAAGCGTCAACCAAGGCAGACCCCCGCAGCGGCACGACCCTGCTCAACCAATAACATTGGAGAATCGGGATCGGGCTATAAGATTGAAGGATCTAACCTAATTAAACACATCTCCGGGTGTTAAAATTCAACCGGAAACTGCTTCAAGACCTGGCCAGCATGGTCAGCAGTCTCGTCAACCTTCGCAACCTCAGCAGGCATTTATGCAACATGCTCAACCACCCTACCAGAATATGAACAAACAAGATCAACCTAGCTGCATTATTTAATTATAAAATACATTTTTCGTTACGAAAATATTCATTGATCCGCCTCTCACCGCAAACAAACTGCATCAAGTTTTACAGAATGACGTCACATCGAGAAGTGCATCGCGATCAGTGACTTGCTTATACCTTGCTATGTGGTATTTAACTAACGACAAAATAGCAGGAAATAGTACGTTTTGGTGTAGTTTAATGCTTACCCACCATTTAAAATAGCAAATCTTTTCATTTTGTGGTATTTTGTTAAGAATTGTTAGTTTGTATGATGTCATAGTTAATATTTTCCGTATAATTTAAGCTCCGACTCCTCTTTGTAGCCTTAATGCTGCATGGAAACTGATAACATTACAAAAACATGGGAGGCTTCAAAATATTGAAGCATTAGGACTCCTTTAGCAAAGCAATTATGTCATCATAACCTTTGGCTTCTCCAATGGAGTCTCCAATTGAGATGACTGCGTCTTTGACACGGAAGAAGTTTCCTTTTTGCTTGATTCCGTAAAGATACTTAGTCCACTCAGAGCTGGATACTTAGTTCTTAACCCCTGCAATAGCTGAAATGACGAAAAACGTCCAACTCAGTTCATATAAAAAATTAGTTCTGTTCATGACAAGTAAAGTATTGAATTATTTTGCAAAACAAATACGAAAAGATTGTTTGTACAATTTATTTAAAAAGAAATTGTCCAACTTACATAGTTTTCTTTCTTTATTTTATCCAGGAGTTTATTTTCTTTTAAATTTCTTACCTTTTTATTCAACAGCACGTGCGATATGAATATACAGAATCCCTGTAACGATATAATTATGCTCTTTGAATGATCTTTTATTTGATAATATACGTTTTTTCGTCATGAATAGTAACTGTACAGTGTATATTATAAGAGGGAAATACCATTCAAGTCTAATGATTACCTAATGTGGTGATTACATGTAATGAACAATTTGCAAAATGTCTATCGTCGATATTTGAAAAGCAATAGATATATATCACTTATATATTCTATCAGAACAAACCTGTATGGAATTGGTTATGATAAAGATGTATTGGAATATTTCAGCGCTTTCATTTACAGCTAAGACTCCAAATATCCAGGTAACGCCTAATACTGGCACAAGTGTACCGAGAGATCGCAATCCCGACCTGTCAATTTCATATCAAAATGAAATCAAAGTATTTTCTAGACATTATGTTAAGTTGTGCGAGTATTTCAAAGCAGAAAAATCACCTTAAATTAAATACATTTCAATTTTGTTTTCTCAGGCAAAGTGTGGGTATTCTGTAGTGAAAAATTTAAACCTCAGATGCCAGAGAATAAGATCACCTCGACATCTGTAGAACCCAACCAATATATGAGCATGCGCTGAAAAGCGTTAGAGAAAAGTTCTACTAACAATAGAAATAAAAACAGAGTTCATTTGACGTATACAAGGGTGAATGTCTGCATTTTGTCCAGATAGTTGGTCATTTATGGATGTTCAAGGTCTTAAATATCATGAAATCTGTTTTAACAATATACATGTGCAAAATATATCTCAAATATATTTAATTTTCTTAAAACAGTTATTATTTTCATTTTTACATATTTTAACTTTTTTAAAAAAAGAATTTTCTTCAAACTTACATGCATTTAATTGATTATAAAATGTTGACTTATAATTATGTGGTATTTACCCCCCCCCCCCCAAAAAAAAAAAAGCCAAACAAACAAACAAAAACAAACAGAAATTATTTTCCGATAAAAGAGTAGGAGGAAACACAGTACTAACTAAACAACTTCATGCTCGTGTTAATATGCTGAATTTACGTACGCGGCCTTTCTCTGAAGTGAAGATTTTGTCATTGCACTTGAACTATACAACACTCGTATTAAGGACGCCATTATTATTACGTTTATCTGAAGTGAAAAACAGACTATTAGTTTATTTGAAATTTTGAGAGTGCATTCTTCAAACGATTCAAGCCTTTACCTCTCGAGAATAGGTTCTTATTTCAAAATTAAACAAATTATGCTCATGACTTCTAACACATCATAGCCATGAACATGTAGTAAAGTAAACATAAAATTATGTAATGTACGAAAAAAGATGTACATTCGTGATCGTACACTATCATGTTTTCCATTATCTGATGGATGATTTGTCCAGTCATACAGACTATCAGCATTTTGTTCAAAGATATTAATGACTTACCACGGCAATAACGCAAACTGGAACAATGAACATATAGAGAGAACCACTTTCCATCGAGAGCCAGCAGCTAAAACGAAACGTTGTGAACGCATGTATTGTCTAGGAACAGGGATGGTAATTGAGTCATTTGATAATAGAAAAACAGACTGTCTATGAAATAATTTTTTTTCTAAAATGAATTTTTATCAGTTTACAATTAGAAAATGCATAGCTGGTGCTTTCATTGGCTTTTTCTGAAAATATATTTGAGATTTGATAATTTTCCCGATATTATATGATTAACTATAATGATGAACTTTGAAGACATATCATGGGTAAAAACACATAACTTTATGAATTCAAGGAGATATTTGTGAGCATTTTCAATTACTTGACTGCTGGTTTTCATAACCTGAGGATTGGACTACCTTAAAACATTATGTAAACAGCCAACGGCTAATAATTTGTATTTACACAGCAATTCTCTTTCAAGCCCCATAAATAGTCAGTGGGAAAGAAGAGCAAGGCCAATCTACTTTTTTACAGTATATATGTGCCACAAAACATTCTCTTTGCATTGTTATTATAAAGACATAATTTGTGATCTTTGCTTCTTAAAATGCGATGCGAATATAGGGCTCAAATATGCATATTAATTTTCGATATACTTATAAGATGAATAAGTATCTGGTCTTGTCATCAAAGGAATATTATTATCTAACATCATAAAATACGATACTGTGTTATCATTTAAATGTAAAGGGAAAATCAAACGATGGGAAAACCTTATCATGTGCAACAGTGGTGAGATAATACAACAATGTTCTTGGCTGATGTCCCATGTTCTGTGAAATGCAAATGTACAAGAAATATAGATGAAAGTCAGGACATGGATCTATAGGAAAGCATCTATAAAGAAGCTACATGTAGATTACTGTGCCGTATGTTGGAAATATATGCCAAATCATTCATAAAGCACTTCTGCTTTGGGAGACTCTAAATTCGGTTTGTATTATTATTATTATTTTTATTATTATTATTATCATTATTATTTGCATTTTTGTATTCTTAATATATCTACATGTATTTCATTAATCATAACTTTATGTAGCAAGTCATACTAATCTTTTCAAACACATACGCTCGAAAATTTATTAAATTGCATGGTTAAATATAACTTACTAATTTCTGATGTGGTAGTTTTTCCCCCAGAATGCCCCCAGTGTTATAACTGTGATGCCTAATGGAAAGCCTAAAAATTAATGAGTCTTCATTTGTTAAAGGCTTGAAACAAGTAAACTGTAAATATATTGATAAACGTTTATTCCAAGTAATAGTGAAAGAAGAAAACCGACTTTGTTTCTCTGCTCGAAAACTGTATACATGCACTACTGTATAATTTCATCTTAGTCTATGGAATTTGGTAACTCACCCCAACTTCCTAAAAGAAAGAAATGCACTCTGGATTTCGACTTGAAGTTATTCGCCACATACATTGCATAGAAGGTCACTGTAATACTCATAAAATAGTAGATACCCATTGCCAACATGCAGAAGAAGGTCACAAGGAAAAGATAATGAATGACGGCCGTAATGAAGATACAGAGGGCCTGAAAGATAAATATGAAGTTCATCATTTTCTTGTCCATAGCAAAAATTTATAAAGTTAGGGCCAACGAATATTTAACATCCTTACACAAATTTAACGATATTGAAGTTTGAGCTTATAAATGCATGAAGTTTATATCAAATATTCAATATATTGTGATTTTAACATTTATATCATTTATATAAAAAGACTGAAAAAGAAAACTGGAAATTACTCATATTTAAATCTACACTTTCTACTAAATAATTGCAACACTGTATCATATCAATAGAGTCTTTCGCAAAAAGAAAGGACTTTGCAAAAGTTATCAAGAATCCGATTGAATGTTCATTTATAAAACTGATATCTTTATCATTGAGGGACTTATGGAAGATTAATTTTTTAAAAAATATTAATTTACCCAATTATCCGTCTTCTCCACGGCCGCAATAAATACAGTGTATGATAAAACCAACGATCCGCAGAGATTAAGTAGTATAATATTTTGATCACTCCTTATTTGCCTGAAAGAAATCATCATCATGTAACAAAAAAGTTAAATGAATAATCAATTTTGAGATATGCGCTTTAACAGTATTGTAAATATTTGATTTTTATAAAGAAATACTGGCATTCTTCCAGATCAATGTAAATGATACAAAGATTTAAACTCTCCGAAAACAAAATTAAATTATGACATACTTCCAAGTCAAAATGAAAAGAATGAGGGTTAAAACTGTAAATGCAATGGACAAGATAACACCCACAAGAGATAGGGTCATCAAAGATTCCTTGTCTTCCTTCGCCTACAATCAATATAACTGGAAATTAGATATTATTTAGAATATTAACATTTCTATTCTACCAACACAATGTATCGTTTTGACAAGCATAAAGATTGTAGTTCACTACTTGTATATCCTCTGAATGAGAGCTAACGATTAAGTTCATTAAGATATCTAAACATGAAATAATACGCATGTTGATAATTATCTTACAGACGTATAAGGCCTCATCAAAATCGCAAAGTTGGTGAGATGGCTACACTGGCAAACTGTCCTCTTGGTATTTGTGGAGTTCACCTTGCAGCCTTTCTTTGACCATTTACTAATTTGAAAATAAAATTCATGTATTTGTACGGAGGACATTTCTTTCATGGCAAGATTAAAGCCAGGTGCACTTTCCCGACTTTTTTGATTTCGTGGTCAACATGCATAAATATTCCAAAGAAAGTTTAAAATACCTCATTTCTCAAAAAAATATCCCAAGTGGACTCGAAATAGAAGATACCATAGAGAAAAAGACGCTAATGGTACCATTAAAACAAAACTTTATGATAAACGTGATGACTTCAAATTTTCTCGTCAACTCCCCTTATTTATGTAGCATTATACCCTTATCACCTTCATATGGAGTTTATGCTCCCAGTTGATACGATACGAGAGCATGCTCCAAGTACGAACAATTTCTTAAATGAGGCAAGTTATTGACAATCAAGTTGATGAAACAAGGATATCACCAACCTTCTTTAAAGTTATCATTTCACAATTTCTATGGTCGATACAATGACCTTGTCAGCAAATACAATCTATCATTAAGTCAAATGCTGACTGAAGTTTTTCATACTTACTGTTAGGCCATTATTCAAATACTGAATTGTCTACGGGTTTTTCCGTTTGCTCGATGATGACAAGGAGAACATGGCGGGTATGACCGGTCGACAAGGGATGCTTACTCCTCCATGGCATCTGATCCTACCTCTGATGTTTTTGGAGGTACGTGTTTGCTCTGCTCCCGATTACTGTTCGTACTGTTTGTTATCTAAGTATTTCATCTATATGATGAAATATATGGAGATAACGAACAGTATTCAAGCTCAAAAGTCCATAAAACAATACAAAATAGGAGCAGAGCAAACACGGACCTCCAAACATCAGGGGTGGGATCAGGTGCCATGGAGGAGTGAGCATCCCCTGCCGACCGGTCACACCCGCCGTGTGCTCCTTGTCATGATTGGGAATTCAGTGTGTAAATAATGGCTTAACAATTAGTATGAAAAACGTCAGTCAGCATTTGACTCAATGATAAATTGTATTTGCTGACAAGGTCATTGTATCGACCATAGAACTTACGAAATGATGACTTTAAACGAGACAGCTGATATTCTTGTCTCATCAACTTATTTGTCAATAAATTACCTCGTTTTAGAAATTGTACATACCTAGAGCATGCTCTTGCGTATCGAATCAGCTGAGAGATATATACCCCGTATGCCGGTGATGAAGGTATATTGCTGCATAAGTAAGGGGAGTTGACGATTGAAAAGTTAAAGTCATCACGTTTATTATAAAGCTTGGTTGTTAGATTACCATTGACGTCTTTTTCTAGTAAAATATCCAAATATGAAACAGATGTGTCAGACTCTGTGGTATCTTTTATCTCAAGTTCACCAGGATATATCGTATGGACATAAGAATGGAAATAGCCATTGTTTATTGACAATACGTCGTCGATATATCTAAATGTTGAGTTGAAGGCCACAGCAAGAGTTTTCTTCTTTTCACGTACAAAATTTTGGACAAATTCTGCTTCATATGAATACAAAAAAAAGGTCTGCTAATAACGGGGCGCAATTGGTACCCATTGGAATTCCAATAGATTGTTGGAAGACCTGGTCTCCAAAAACCACATAGATATTGTCAATCAGAAACTCAAGCATCTTTTTAATGTCAACTTCAGAGTACTTGTGTTTACAATCGGAATGTTTTTTAACAAAATAATTTTGTAAATGACCAATGACAAGGTAAGTATATTTACGAGTTCCATTTTTATTGAAAAAGCAGCTGTCAATGATCTCAAAAAGCCTGGACTTTAATTTGTCGTGGGGAATGGTTGTGTATAAAGTTGAAAAGTCGTAAGTTTTTAAGCTGTTGATTTTGGTAAAATCTTGTGTTTTCAAATTTTCCAAAAGTTCCTTGGAATTTTTAAGTATCCACATCTGATTTACACCACTTCTCGAATATATTGTTGCACAGTACTCTTGAAGTTTCTCCTTCACCACTGTTAGTGAGGAGTAAAGATAGAGGCTTGGTTGAACATTTACTGGAACCCGCTATGTATCTTTGTTTGTAAGGATTTTTATGAAGTTTTGGAATCCAATATAAATATGGTAATTCAAATTCATTTTGGTTGTTTGGAATATTAATATGGTATATGAATCAAGATATTTTTGGAAATCATTCTTCAAAGCTGCTATCGATCCATAAAAGTCTTTAAAGAAGAACTTACTTTATCGTAAAATTCCAAGCTACACAGACTACTTGAAGGATGCCACGTTCATTCTAGAAATAATTAATATGACAACAAATAGAAAAAACATAACATAATATTATTTCATACCAGTTACCTAACAATGCCGAGAAAAAAGAATTCACATCATGTTAAGTGTATGGAACAATACCTATATTAAAAAAAACATATTTGCTTGACTCTACTTACACTTTTTCGTTGAGATATCTTTTTAAAGTTATTTAATTTATCTTTCAAAAATAATGTCTCCTTAATATCAGAGCGTTTTAATTTTGTTGTTTGGATGCATGATGAATTGAAAATCTTACTGGCATTAGAATTCGATACTTGAATAAATTAAATAGGATAGACTACCGAAATATTAGATGTATTTTTTACAAAGGGTCCTCAAATTCGTGTCAACATCCCCACTTAATTATTATTGGAATGTGTCCTTCAAGAACACAGTATTATACCATTTGCAAATACAATGTCATTGACCATTGAGAAACAATCAGGCATATTTGGTTCATAATTATTTGATTAGTAATGAGATTCCATTCATTGGGTCTTAAATGTGGTTTTCTTTTATACATTAGCTTTTGAGCTAGTACTGAAATAAATGTTATATCCTTGTAATATCTCTTGCTAATGACAACTGCACAGTTATACAAGCAGTTTTAGAATATGATATCACGCTTGGCTGTTCAACTCTTCTGAACTATAAACAACACTATTTTTTAACTATAACAACATCATCCATTTCCATGTTCAAGAAAATCCCAAATTGTTTCCCCACAGAGTACACTTGGGTGAAGTTTTGTCACCTTAAGGTTATTCTAATATTATAATAGGCCGTGTTTCCAAATCAAAAAGGCAATTAATATTTATTTTCCGTTCAAGGGAGACTAATAATATTATTCTTTCTTTCTCAAGATTTACAACAAAAATACTTTTTTCACTCTTACATGTACCTTGTGTTTGTGCTGAAATGTTAGGTTTAGAGGAGGAGATAGAATCCCCAAATCTGTCTTAGTAGTAAGTGACAAAATTTCAGAATTGACGAATTCTTTCCTCTCTTTTTCTTCTTTCACTTCGTCTGAACTTTCTTCTCTGAATGAAACATTAAAGGAGAAGCCATTTATATAAAGGAGTCAAATTTTCAATATACACATAAGATCCTTCAAAGAAAAGTCTGAACATGCACGATCCTGCATGCACACATTTTTACATGTACATGTAATATGAACAATCGGAATCGGAACTTTTTTTTCTTCTTTCTCCAGATTCAAAATTAAAAATACATATTTACAAAATGAATTATATATACTGTATATCTGTTTGTAACTCTTCAGCTTAACTAATATTTCATACAATATTAATTAATCTAATTTGAAAACGATCTCCTTTTCAACTTATTTTAAGAAAAGTTTACTTGAAGTTTGAGAAAATTTGGGTAATTCATTGTCTGAAGAAACATTCAGAATAGAAAGAATTTTTGACTTTTGGTTGGTTATTTTTTAATTCGTAAATTCATATATGAATACATTTCAATGTATTATGATTAGTCTGTCGTTATTTTTATCTATTTTCAAATACACGTATACAGATTTCAAATCTTATGAAACTGGAAAAAATCCACGAAAACTTTGAATATTTGGTTATTGATATTTTCAAAGTTGTTTTCTTTGCTAACATTACTTTTACAAGAAAACGACCTTTACAAGGTACTTGCTGCAGGATAACACATATTAATCAAAAGGATTTTGAAAGGTATATATACGATGACGCATATGATTGGAAGTATATTACCCGATTGATCTTTATTAACTATGAGGTTAATTTAGCTAGCATTTTGTTATCGCTAACTAATAATTTGCGAATAAACTACTAAAAAAGATCTTTTGTGCTTCTTATGAAATGTGCAACAGAAATGCTATATATAAAACAAGGGAATGCATGAAATATAAGCAATATATGAATATATCTTCGTCTTCGTATAAAATGATGGGCAACTAACAAAACTTTCAAGTTAAGACCCATGTATATACTCCTATAGAAGCACTATAATAACTGTGACAGTCTTTATATACCTTTGTGAATCTGCAGGTATAATCTCCGAAATAGTCTTATATATGACAGCCACATACGTAAAACCTATAGCGACAGAAAACAGAAAAACATGTTGAATTTTTATTTGTCATTATAGTATTATCTTCATCATAAATTCGCTTACTTTTTTAAATAGTGGCTTTACTTTTTACCCCTGCCTCTCCCCAAATGTGACTTTTGTTTTGTAAATAAAGAAGTGTTTCTCTCAGTAATAATATTTCTATTCCTCACTTTGGTGAACAAATAACAGCACAGTTATTGCCAAACCAAAGATAACTTACCTTCACTTGTCCTGTTCCTTTGTTTTGGTAAATCAAGAAATGTTGCATATTCACCAATATCTTTCGAAGTAGTATTGGAGAGTCCATCAGGCTTCGGGAAAATTATTCCTTTTTGATCAACTTTCGCTTGATCAATCATCACCTCTGAATTTTTTTAAGTATTTAGTTTAGTAATTTCATGCATTCTTCAGAAAACATTTCTGTGTTGTAAGTATTATTTTCAAAGATCAAAAACAAAAATATATTTACTGAAATTTTCCCCTGTGAATTTAGCTGCCGTTATGTTATCTTTTTTCAAAACCATTTCACTAAACCTATCCATATTCCTCAGTAGTGAGCTACCATCCTTCCCTGTCTGAACATTATAAATTAAACAATAACAATTTCGAAAAGCTCATGAAAAGTAAACTATGACACAATAGAGAAATGGTGTAAAAAATGATATATATATTTGTAATGATAATATTTATATTTGTTATTCTTTTTACATAGCCATTAAGCAGATTGCATTCCTTACCTTGCCTCTAACATCAGTCCATGATTTTGAATTGTTGGTAGATAAAACACTGTCAACCACCTCGAAAAATGCCTAGAAGAGTATAACATTTTTGAAATAGATTTTCACATTCATTATCACTCTATATACTTTACAAAACACATACTAAGCTTTAACATCAAAATACAGATTTTTCAAGGTATGACATATATTTTTGCTGATTTACAGATAACAATCAAAGGGGTCAAAGGCTGGTGAAGGTCTCGAGGGGTGTAACTGATGTCACTAAGTTACACTATCAAAACTTCGAGTTAATGCCTGCCGTCTCAAATAGGTTCTGCCAGCAAGTCACATGTCACACCTCCACGTTGGTGGCCCTGGAAATACTTAGGTAGCTGAGTGACAGTGGCAAGAGGCGAGTCTTCAGCGCCTTTAAATAACTGGAATCTGTGACTAGGGGAAGGAAAACCCCAACAGAAAACCACCGGCCCTCCGGGTCCAGGGGGTTTTGCGCAGGGTTAGCAACCCGCCATGTAAAAAGGCAATTGCTACAGAAACGCATACAAGATTTAATCAAGACTTCTCAAATTCTGGAAGAGAAGGTTCTCCAAAAGGAAGACGAAGGACGCCATGTGGTGAAAACCAGAGACAGAAGGAAACTACAAGGCCGAAAACCCTTCTCGGACCCAGAAATATCAATATAGGAACTTGGAACGTAAGAACCATGTACGAAGCAGGGAAAACAGCGCAAATTGCAGCAGAGATGAGAAATTACAATCTGACACTGCTCGGCATAAGTGAGACAAGATGGATTCAATCAGGACAGTGCAGACTTACTACAGGTGAATTACTCCTGTATTCTGGACATGAAGAAGAAAATTCATCGCACTCTCAAGGTATGCTATCCAAAACAGCAAGGGAAGCATTAATAGGCTGGGAAGCACATGGACCAAGGATTATAAGGGCATCTTTTAAAACAAAACATAAACGGATTAGCACAAACATTATCCAGTGCTATGCCCCAACAAATGATGCAGAGGAAGAAGCAAAAGATGAGTTCTACAACAGACTTCAAAGTGTTATTGACACCTGTAGAGAAAGAGATGTTACCATCATGATGGGAGACCTTAACGCAAAAATTGGAAATGATAACACCGGATATGGCGAGATTATGGGACAACATGGACTGGGACAAATGAATGAAAATGGTGAAAGATTAGCAAACTTTTGTGCATTTAACAAACTAGTTATTGGTGGCACTTTATTCCAGCACAAAAGAATACACAAAGCCACCTGGGTATCACCAGACCAATTAACTGAAAACCAGATAGATCATATATGCATCAATAAAAAGTTTAGAAGATCTTTGCAGGATACCAGGGTCAAACGAGCAGCAGATGTAGCCTCAGATCACCATCTATTGACAGGCAGCATCAAACTGAAGCTCAGAAAAATGAAAACAGAAGGAAACTCTCAGAGAATCAGATATAACACCAGGTTTCTCCAAGATACCCAAATCTTACAGGAGTATAAGATTGCGGTTAAAAACAAATACCAAGCCCTTCAGGAAATAGGGGAAGTAACAACAGTTGAAGACCATTGGAAAGGGATAAAAGAGACCATCACAACAAGCTGCCATGAAATACTTGGAGTGAAAAAGTACCATCATAAAGAGTGGATCACAAATGACACACTTAGGAAAGTACAGGAGAGGAAGGCTAAGAAGGCTGAGGTCAATTCAAGCAGAACAAGAGCTGAAAAAGCAAAAGCACAAAAAGAGTATGCAGAGGCCAACAAGAGAACTAAACAAAGTATTAAAGCTGACAAAAGAAGGTACATGGAGGAACTAGCAACGGAAGCAGAACAAGCTGCAAAAGCAGGAAACATGAAAGACTTGTATGACATCACCAAGAAACTAGCTGGGAAGCGAAGTAAACAAGAAAGGCCAGTGAAAGACAAGGCAGGGAAGCAACTAGAAGGGGAAGAAGAACAAAGAAGGAGATGGAAAGAGCATTTTGAAGAATTGTTGAATAGGCCAGTTCCACCCAACCCTCCTAATATTACACCAGCAGATGAGGACCTAAACATAGACTGGGGACCACCTACTAAGGAGGAAATAAAAATAGCCTTAAAACAGATGAGGAATGGCAAGTCAGCAGGGCCTGATAATATCCCGGCCGAGGCACTTAAAGCTGATTTTGACAACTCAGCCGACATACTTCACCCACTTTTTCAAAAAATATGGGAAGTAGAAACAATCCCAGAAGAATGGAAAGAAGGATACCTCATCAAGCTTCCAAAAAAAGGATACCTCAGCGATTGTGTCAACTATAGGGGAATAACACTGTTAGATGTTCCAGGGAAGGTATTTAATAGGATCATACTGAACAGAATGAAAGAAGAAGTGGATGATAAGCTACGTGACCAACAAGCTGGATTTCGTAAAAATAGATCTTGTACGGACCAGATAGCAACGATGGGCATTATCATCGAACAATGTGCTGAATGGAACTCCTCCCTCTATGTAGGCTTCAGAGATTACGAGAAAGCCTTTGACAGTGTTGACAGGGAGACAATATGGAAACTTCTGCGACATTATGGAGTTCCTTGTAAACTGGTAAATATCATCCGCAACTCTTATGAACACCTGACATGCAGGGTCATACATGGAGGACAACTGACGGAACCATTCGAAGTAAAAACAGGAGTTCGTCAGGGATGTCTACTGTCTCCCTTTCTATTTCTTCTTGCAATAGACTGGATAATGAAATCATCCACCGACAATAGGAGAAATGGAATACAGTGGACACCATGGTCACAGTTAGACGACCTAGACTTTGCGGATGATTTGGCACTCCTATCACATACCCGTGCACAAATGCAGGAGAAAATTACAACTGTGGCAGAAACATCAGCACGGATAGGACTCAACATCAATATTGCAAAAACAAAGATCCGAAGAGCAAACACACCATCACATGCTTCATTAAATATAGAAGGAAAGAAAATAGAGGAAGTAGAACATTTCACCTACCTTGGCAGTATAGTGGACCAACAAGGAGGAACGGAAACAGACATCAAAGCAAGAATAGGAAAAGCCAGAGTAGCATTCCTGCAACTTGGAAACATCTGGAAGACCAAGGGAATTACAACACGCACCAAAGTTAGGCTTTTTAACAGCAATGTTAAGGCAGTGCTTCTATATGGTTCTGAGACATGGAGGATGACTGTTACCACAACAAACAGGATCCAGACATTTGTCAACTCTTGTCTGAGACGCATCCTCCAGATCAGATGGCCCGACAAAATCAGCAACATCAATTTGTGGCAAAGAACAAACCAAGCCCCTATAGAAGAGGAAATAATGCAGAGAAGGTGGAGGTGGATAGGGCATACTCTACGCAAGCCCAACAATAACATCACAAGGCAAGCCCTATCCTGGAACCCCCAAGGAAAACGTAGGAGAGGTAGGCCAAAGAACACCTGGCGAAGAGATCTAGAAGCAGACATTAAAAGAATGGGCAAGAACTGGAAGGAGGTTGAAAGCACTGCTCAGGATAGAGGGGCCTGGAGGAATCTTGTCTGCGGCCTATGCCCCAAAAGGGGTAGCAGGCATAAGTAAGTAAGTAAGTAAGTAACAGATAACAATCATCTGTTTGTATCTAATTTTAAAATCAGTCACAGATGCACGTGTGTTTTTCTCATTACTTCAAATCATTGGAGAATTTATTTTTAACAAACCTCTTTTTCTATGTCTGCACGTGTCAAATGTGCAACGTTGAAAATCTTCTCTAAAATCGCAATACATGAGGTAATATCACCAGAACTCAGTGCACTTGTCTGTGAGGTTAGGTTTTTCACCGTAAGTAACGTGTTATCTACTGTTTTCTGTACCTTTTCCGTGTCCATAACACCGTCTGCTATCAAACCATCCAACTGGAGAAATCAAGATTAAAGACATTATCTCCATACATTCCTTGAACAGAAAACAACAATCATAACTTTCATCAATATCTTTGCTCTGCATTAATAATTGGAAAGAAAGAGACACCTTAAATATAGCAAAAATTATTATGTTTATGTAAGCACTTCCTTTGTAAGCAAGACTTTTGTAATAGTGATAATAAACTACCAATAGATAGTTTTCAGTAGGCCTAAATTAGCAAGAGTTGTTTCCCGTTGGCCGCCATATTGGAGGTCAACATGCCCATATTCCTTCATTATTCAACCAAATTTAACTATTTATACTGGCCATTCTGGGGTAGGAAGCATTGTTTTTCTGAATAATATACATTTGTTAAAGCCTCCTTTATTTCATAGTTTTTATTCTATAAAGATTTTTCACCAACTATTTCTGCTACACTCTCTTAAATTTGGTAAGACAAAGAGGAAAAATTACCAGGTTGACCACCAAGATGGCGGCCAAGGGAAATAACTCGGAGAGAAAATACGTCATATGAAAACTATCTATAATGTCGGCTAAAAGCTTCACCAAATTTTATTTATAAATTATTATGTCACAGGAATACCTATTTTCATGGTGACTCCACTATAGCAAATGAATGTAAATGGTCGTCTTACGATTAGTTTTTGTCATAAACATCACTAAACATAAGTATTAAAAATAGCCATTGTTGGTCACC